CCCTCGTGCGCCGGGCGCGCCCCCTTTCCAGCTTCCGGGCAAAGCTCCCCGCCGCCGCCGGTCGCCCGAAGTCGGGGTCTGGAGGACCCGGAGGCCGCGGTCAGCGGGGGCCGCCGCGCCCGCTCCTGCCGCGCGGAAAGTTCGAGCAGGGCGCGCGTGCAGCCACAGGCCTCCTCCTTTCCCGGGGGCCGCTGCTGGGCTTGCACGCCCGGCGTCCCGCCAGGTCCTGGGTTCGAATCCCATATCAGGCCGCAGCCATGGGTCCTGCGCAGGCTCCTATCGGAGACTCTTTCTCTTGACATCTGTTTGTGGTCCATTATTCAAGATGTGGCTTCATGATGGCTACCTCATGCGAGCCGTGGGAGACTCTTTTCCTTGGATGTTAATATTCGCAGGAAGCCGTCTGGTGGTATCAGAAGTTTCATTTGGGTGTGTGACTTAATTTTGTGCGGTACGTAGGCGTCACGTGAGCTTGGTAACCGATGATGCGAGGGGTGATGCGAGGAGACGTGGGAATCTACAAGTTGGTAGCTTTGGGAGAGTTTGTTTATAGTGATGAACGAGGCAGACCTGTCTCTGCCCGCAGAGAGCAGACAGTCCAGGCAGCTTCCTCTTTGGGGGGGGACTTCCTCATTTCAGGAGCCCTGGTGACACAGTGGGTAAGGGCTGCGAACCCAAAGATCAGCTGTTGAACCCCAAGACCTCTTTGTGGGACAAAGATGGCTGGCTGCTTTTGTCAAGATTATAGCCTTTAGAGCTCTAGTCGCCTAGTGGCAGGAAACTGCACATTGCAATCCCAAAGACTCACAGTTCGAATCCACCAGATGCTCCTTTGGAGATGGAGGGGCAATCTCGTCCTATGCCAGTCGCATCTGACTCCACCCACACACCAACAACAATAACAACAGCAGATTAAGCCTTGGAAAATCTGTGGGTCAGTTCAACTCTGTTTTATGGGGTCCTTGTGAGTCAAAAGGGCTTGGGGGGTGGCACTGGGGCTTCACCTTTTTTAGGTTTCCAATCCTTTTCCCTAATCATTTAAGAAATACTTTCACCTTAGGAAAAGTGTGAGGCTATAGTTCTTGAGAGAAAGAACTCTAACAAACCCCAAAAAACTCCACTCACTGCCTTCGGGTCTGTTGTGACTCATGGGTTTCCAAGGCTGTAAATCGTGGGAGAAACTATGGAATAAACCATTGGAGAGACATTTTTTCATTAGCAATGCAACACTGAATGAACTAGGCCACCATCGATCCTCCAAGAAGTAGCTGGGACCTCTGAAATCTGTAATTCTTACAGGTAAGACAAACACTGAGACTCCTTAGTGTGGAATCAGACCACAGCTGACTCTCCAGCAGGTTTCTGGATGCCCTGCTTTCTCCCTAGGAGCCAGTGGTGGCTTTGAACCGTCAGAGAGGCACGTCTGCCTTTTGGTTAGCAGCTCCTCTCTCTACAAATGGTGCCACCAGAGCACTTACTTTTTAACATATAATCTAGACAAGATAGATTTGCTCACAGTAGGAGGTGTTAAAAGGTCCAAGTGAAGTGTCTAGTGCCCTAGCAACTATCACTAGGACCCAAAAACCCACTGCTCGAGACTAGTTTCCAAACTTTTAGAAACCTTTCATCAGATGTCTGATGATGGAACTCTTCATGGGAGGAGATTGCCCTTGTTTTTCCTGAGGAGCAGCTGATGGATTTGAACCACTGATCTTGGCAGTTAGCACACTGTGTCACCCAGCATCTTTTGCAAGAAATCTGGCCTAATCCTCTCAACCGCCAAAGCAGGTGGTGGTATCATGCTTTTCAGGTGAGGTGCGAAATGTTCAAGGTTATAAGTAAGTTTTCTGGGGCCACAGAAGGAGTAGTTGGGACCCTGATTTGTCACGGTTTGCTAGCCCCCAGAACACTTTCTGGCATACCCCACTGATCTTTCTACTCTTCCCCTCCAGTTTGGAGACTTGCTAGTTGATCCACACACACAGTGAAGGTGACTGCGTTTTCCCCCCTATATTTTCATTATGTTTTTGTGATATTACGTTTTATTTCAGGATGGGACTGCTCCTGGGGTACAGTGGGTAAACAGCAGTTAACAGAAATGTTGGCACTTTGAACCTACCAGGGGCTATGAAGGAGGTCAATGTGGCAGTCTGCTTCCATAAAGATTATTGCCTTGGAAATCCTATAATGCTGTCCTTCTCTGTCCTGTTGTTGTTGTTATTGTTATTGTTTACTGTAGAGTCAGAACTGACCCACCCACCCATAGCTGGCCTCTGGCGAGTTTTCAGTGGCATTTAATCACATGGGAGGAGATTGCCCATCTTTCACCCGTGGAGCCGCTGGTGACTTTGAACTGCGTGTCTTCAGGATTGCAGTGCAGCTTCTTGCCATTAGGCCACCAGAGCTCACTGCTCTGCTGTATAGGGTCACTGTGAATGGGAATCTGTAAGGCGGTTGGATTCAGAATGGAAAAGAAACAACTGCACTCAGATAAGATCTTTGATAATCTTGAGCCTGAAGCTACTATGACTCCATCTCGTTGCTTTCAAGTCAGAACCAACTAACAGCTGAGCCTCCAGCAAGTTTTCAGAGGCTGTAAATCACATGGAAAGAGATTGTTCATCTTTCACAGAGTAGCTGGTGGATTCGAGCTGAATGCTTTGGGTTTGGTAGTGCAACCTATTAGGCCACGAGAGCTCCCTATTGGCCTGTGTCTTGCCACTCTTATCTGTTTTTCCTGAGAAGTCCCAATGCCTGGTACCCTCATTCAATCTCCTAGAAAACATTTGGGTCAGTTTTCAGTGCATCTTTCATAAAAGTCATTGTAAAATTTCCCAGACTGTCCAAGAACCAATTTTGTGAATTCTAAAAACTTAGGCCTTTAGATCTGTAGCCAAGATAACCTCCAGCTCATCTGACAGATATTTTTCAGTCTGTGTGTACACAGGAAGATGTAGTTTTTGAAAAAAATTTCGTTATTATTTTGTGTGTGTGTGTGTGTGTGTGTGTGTGTGTCTGTGTCTGTGTGTACTGTCAAATTGAAACTGACTGGTACAGGAGAAGATTACCTCTCCTTCTGTAACAGAGCATCTGGTGGATTCAAACTGCGTGCCTCTGGGATTGTAGTGCAGCTTCTTGCCACTAGGCCAGCAGAGCTTCCTGGAAGAGGTAGTTTTTAAACTCTACCTGCTTGTTCAGTGTAGGTCTTGCGGGATAAGAACGGATGTATTTAATGAAAAACACTCAGGCAGTCTCTCTGTTAGTGAGGGTGGTGGACGAGGGTGGTGGACGAGGCAGACATAAAATGAGTGGACTTGGTTGTGCCAGGCCAACCCTCTTTTTTCTTAGTCACTTACACTGACAGAGATGAGCCACCCACTGGGATTGAGTCGTTGCTGATTTACAGGACAAACTGCCCCTCCTGGTTTCCAAGACTACATAAATCCTTACAGAATCTAACTGCTGTATCTTTCTCCTTCTGGGTTCAAACCACTGACTTTTCCATTAGTAGCAGAGCAGTACATCACTGGCCACCTAGAAATAAGCAAGCTGGTGGAATCATGGGGCACCAGGCAGGGTCCCTGGAGGCCTTGGAGTAGGAGGGCTTTTAAAGAAGAGGCTTGTTCTTCTGTTTGGTCTCTTTCTTGTACGTAGGAGGCCCTCCAAACCTCACAGCTGCTTGCTCCCTGGAAGTGGAGGCAGTCAGCTGCCTGGGATGTTGGTGAGTGGCTAGCCTTTCAGTGAAAAGAATCCTTACACTCTTCTGAGTTTGAGAAATTCCAATAGGCGAGTCATGCCACTCCTCTAAGGGATTTTCATAGGGTCATCCAGCCCAGCTTTTGGATTAAGCCCTGTGGTTTGCATTACTGTTTATGTCTCTGAATTCCCTATCAGAAGACAAATGATAAAAGTTTTTTTCTGATGACTAGAGATGATAGAAGGTGAATTGATGCCTTTGAGCTGTGGTGCTGGAGAAGAGTATTAAGGGTACCATGGACTGCCAAGAAAACAAACAGATTCGACCAGGAGAGGGTTAAACCAGGCAGCTCCTCGGAGGCAAGGATTCTGGGGCTTCGCCTGACATACTTTGGACATGTTGTAAGGAGGGATAGGTCCTTGGAGAGGGACATCATGCTTGGGAGGGTGGAGGGACAGCGCAGGAGGGGAAGACCCTCTATGAGGTGGATTGATTCAGTGACTGGGGTAATGGGGATCGGTATGTTGGAGATGGTGAGATTGGCACAGGATAGAGCAGGGTTTAAGACTGTTGTACATAGGGTCGCTATGAGTCGCAAGTGACTCGACGGCACATAACAACAACAAATAAAATAATTCTTGCCTTTGCCGCTAATTCCCTCAAGCTTGTCTCATGTCTTAGAATATACTAGACCACAGCCTAAAGCAGACCAAAATCCCAAGGATGGGAAGAGGCCAAAAGTAATGGCCAATTTTGATCTTTAGATGTTCAAGTATAGAGCCAGTTACTGAAGAACCTTGGGGCTTGGCCTCACCATATAGCTTATCCTGTTGAAGACTCAAGATTTTTTGAAAAATTAAGTTTATTAATGACATTTTAGTTGAATAAGTGCCTTTTTTAGATCTTTTTCTATCCATTGCTGTTATGTACCATTGAGTTGGAACTGACCCATAGCCGACCCCCCTTTCAGTGGGTTTTCAGAAGCAATAAATCGCCCGGGAGGAGATTACCATCTTTCTCCCTCAAACAGCTGATGGCTTTGAACTGCCTGCCATTGGGTTGGCAGCACAACTCTGTACCACCAAGCCTCCTGTCTGGAATAGCTGTGGACTGATCTAAAATTCCC